GCTTGTTTGATGACAAGTATGGACTGTTTCTTCTTTGCCCTACCTTCCTTATGTATGGCTACATTGCCATACATAAAAAAATCTGCAAGCTTCTTCATGAGGCCTCAATGATTTTAGCTCTGATCTCTCCCAATTGCCTAAAGTTAATTTTCAAACTCTTAACCAGGTGCAGCGACCCTTTGCAATCTGATCCTGGTTCAGGTCCCAGCCCAAGATTTTCCCTGGCAAAAACAGAAACTAAGTGAATGTTTTTTGGGTAAATGAATGGATGGGTACATGGCTTTTGCTGTACATGGCTGCTCAGTTGTGACTCCATCAGCCCATAACAAGGCCCAGAGCTTATTCCTGTTCCTAGCATCTAGGCACAAGCCAGGTATACAGTGGGTGCTCAATAAGTGTTCATGGAGTACAGAATGACTCTTTTCACCTTCAAACCAACTACTATGTTAGATAGAAACAACCCCATGAATCTAACACATACATATTAACCTTGTGAAATATTTTTGTTTCTAAATTGAGAAACACTATCCTAAAAGTCTTTGTGTAGTCAAAGGTATCAGCCACTTACAGAGCTCAATGTGGTAATGAGGAAAAGCATAATTTCCTGTGGTTTGACAGTAATGTGACAAGAATAGTTCCCATTGTTTTGAATAGATCATGAACATAATTTGTCTGACTTTACTGACACTTGAAGCTCTGGAAGCAGACCAAACAAATGCGACCTAGCTCTCAGCCACCCATGTGCTGAATTTAGAGATAGTTTCATGTGATCATTGTGCTAGATTCTCTGAGGAATTTCAAACATCCCATAATCATGTCTACTCCCAACAATCATATAGTTGAACTGGAAAGAGAAGGTGAACAGAGCGAGAGTAAAGGATTTAACAATTTGTGTTTCTCTGAGAATTTGACATCTAAACCACAAAATCCTAACTAATGATAGATTTTTTTTTAAAAGCTATCAATCCAGTTCATACTTAAATATGGAGAGTTCTCTAGATAAGGTTCTCAGAAGATAATAGGCAAGAGTAACTGTACGTGATCATTCTCTTGTGGAGTTGATTGCAATGTGAGGATGGTTGCTTTCCACCAAAGTTCATTCACCATTGATTTGAATTGATTTGAATGCAATGATTATTGATGCAGTTGGAAAAAATATACAAATCCCTTAGCTTTATCATGTGTACTAAAAATAGGAAGAAACAATTTCTTAGCATTTTTCACTTTAAGTTAGATGGAAAGGACATCTTCTGACTAATGGAAGACACACTAGTTTCTAGAGTGTCTTATTTATACTGGCTTCTTATTTATACTGTATGTCCATAGCAAAAAAAAATACTTGACAGGTGTTAGACAATCAAATATTGGTAAATCTATGAGCCAGTGCTCAGACCTAATAATGAGATTATATACTTGGCTCTAATCACTGGTCCAAATTGACACAACCAAGGACAGTGGTAAGTCAGTGTTTAAAGCTCTTTAAATATATTTCCAAAACTATTTTAAGCTGCCAGATGTGGTGGTATGCACCTGTAATTCCAGCCCTTGGAAGGCTAAGGCAGGAGAATCACAAGTTAGAGGCTGGTCTGGCTACACAAGACCCTGTCATTCATTCATTCATTCATTCATTCTCTCTCACATACATATTACTTAGGATTACTTCATGTGATCACATGAAACAATCTATAAATATACAAATACATGTGCACATACATGTCTTTAATTGTGTTATCTGGGATGATACTCACTTCAAAGGTACTTTAAATCAAGCATGTTAAATGTTAAATGAAGTCTCCATCAATTAAGTCCCATGGCATCCATTTCTGTGCAAGGCACCCTGGGATATAAGAGTGCACAAGGTATCTTGTCAGTGTAGTGTGCACAATTCTGCCCACAACAGTTCTGAGAAGACAAGAGTAGGGATAGCAGTAGCAAGACAGCTTCCCTAGAGAGATATAAAGACTGGGAAATGCAGACTGACTATACACAGGTCTCAGAAGCATGCTTTCTTCTGTGCTTCTTTCTACATCTGTGCTTTAAGTTTATAATTTGGTCCTTTCTTGTTATATGCAAAGAAAATACAGTTGAATCTCAAATTGATGTGTCATGTTTCCTTAGGTTGCACTGTAAGGCACTGTTTAAAATATAATCTTTTTTTTAAAAAAGGGAACTACAAGCTGTAAGTGAGCTTTATTGGGGGGGTGACAAGGGTATTTTTCTTATTCTCTAGCGAGGATAGTGAAGGCTACTGGGGTAAATGAAGCATTACATGCTTTCAACATCATTAAACATTGATATAAGTTCAGTTTGTTTTATTAGCATGCGTTTCACTGCAACATTTCTACCCACATATACAAAGCATTTTGATTAATCTCTTATCACTCTTATCCCCTTCCCCTTCTTAAAACAACTTCAACAGATTTCATCGTTCTATTTTCATCCACGCAAAGTAAATTTATATTCTTGACCAAGAATGACTCAAGCTTTTTTGTATTTTTATTCAGTTGTTTGGGCTATCATATGGCTTCCAAAATGCCCCCAAACTTTTAGAAATAATTCAGCAATCATTTCATCTTTGTGTCTAGAAAAATCCAATTCTCCTTTGGGAGAAAGAAACAGATCTTAAGCATGCATTTAAGGGCAACAATACCTAACTGTGAGTATAAGGACTGTACGAGGTCTCCAAACAGCTCAGAGGCTCTGTGTACTGGAAGATTTCACATGCCTGCCTGAACACACCCACTTCACCCCCACACACACTGGATCCTTGCGTTTGCAGCCCAAAAGCTGTGTGGTTCTCCTGAACGAAGAAAAGCACTTGAAAATTCCATCCATTAGGAGACTGAATTAGGGAACTGTAATCATTGAGAAATTCATGAGATTTAAAATGGAAGACTGCTCCATCTCAAGAATCTTTTAGTGAGCTTTTGTCATCCCCCCCCTTTGTTTTATTTCTCGTGTGTGACATTCAGCTCTTCATTAAGCTCTTTAAGCCTCTTTCCTGGTGGTGGCAATGGGGAAGATAGGGTCAACGGTCCAGTAGGGAGGGGCTTCAATTAGGGATTTGTTTTGTTTAATAATAGAATGTCCTCTTCTCCTTTGGTTCTATAAAAGAAAATTCTGTCTACCCCTAAGTCTCATATAGCAGAAGCATACATTCCCACCGTGATTCATAAATATCTCCAGCACTTCGGGGAAGGGTCTCTTTTTGGAAAGAGTAAAGAGTCCCCCATCAAATTGAAAACAAAACAAAGACAGCAAATCAGCCTGTCCTATGCCCCAGTACAACAGTTAACTAACAGCTTGAGATACAGGAAGAGCTTGCCAATGTTTCTCTTCTCTCACACCAAGCACCCAACACTCATTCAATCACTACTAAATTTCTAATATCACTTTCATTTCATTTTTCCGTTTTAGCTCTGTCTGTCCTCCCAGGAAAGAAAGGTAATTTCTTCTATCACCTGGCCCCATGAATCATCTACTTGCCTTAAAGTTCTTATTTCCCTAAGAAACACTGGAACTCTGATAATTTCTAAAAATGTCTCATTTCAGCAGTTTGAAAAATGCACGCAGCACAAATTGCTGTGGATCTGGTTTTTCTTTGCAGCTTGAACATGTTCATTGGGCCTTTTTATACTTTGCCTGGTAGGTCAGAAAAGAAACTGCAAAGCTCCGCCCCTTCTAGGGCTGCTTCATCTTGAGCCCCACTCTCCCACTCCCCTCCATCTTTGTGTTTCTCATATCTCCTCTCCACGGACTGAAGACACTGTGGCTTGCAGGTTTGAAGCAGCTCTGCACATCCTGCCCTCCCCTCACAGATAAAGGCTTCTAGCTGATGGTGTGTCTACTTGATTGTCTAAACCACAGGTACAAGGTTTCCTGTGCATTTCTCAAAATGTTGTGCAAAAGACTTCAACCGGTTTGGTAATGATCAACAACTTCTCTTCACCCCTATTGCGCCTTCCTCCACAAAGGGGATTTTTCTAAGTTAGCTTTTAGGGGGAAAGTTTTCCTTGAACATGTGCATGGGGCATTTCAGATTTGCTGAGTTATTGGGTGAACTACCATTCTTAAATATTGTTGCGTTTTGGCCTAAGAAAATTGGGGCTCTTATTTTAAAAATAATCTGTACCCTTCTTTATGGAATAGAGGAATCCATTAAAGAGCTTTAAGAACATTCTTTCACCTTGTAAAAATTGATATCTTATTTCCCTCTCTCCTTGATAGTTCTGGCCTGGCTAAAACAAAGGTTTTTGTTTGCTCCACACCCCCCTCCCACCAATTAAATATATAATCCAGATAGTCCTGTATGGAGGACTGGATCAAAGGCCAATTCATTCTTGCTGGGCTTCCACACGGCAACCATTTTCATCTATGTCCTGCTTGTGCCTTTTAAATCCAATAGTCATTGTTCAAATTGATGATTCAGTAACTTAAAACCACTCATTAATGGTAAATACAATTTTAAACATTGAATTCCAACTAGAAACCAGCCATTAGACTATAAGGAAGCACCTACTAAAATGTCATTTTTATTCATTTTATCTGATAAACATGGTTAAATTCCATTTGTTCAATGCTAGTAATTGTTTAAAAACCAAGTTGATTTTGAGACTGAAACAAGACGTACTTTCAATCATCTTGAGCACTAAGTAATAAATTAAGCCTTGGCTTATCAAAACCTGTATAAAATGTATGAATTGCAAATATGTTGCCCAATATAGCCTCAAACTCCTGGCCTCAAGCCATCTTCCACTTTGTCCTCTGGAGTTGTGGGGACTACTGTAGTTAGTGTGGCCCTACAAAGTTTTTGTGAAAGAAAATCCTCTCTCAATTTCATATGCCTGGGTGAAAAATCAGCCTTATGCTGTGAGGGCATTGACCAAAATGGTTTGCATTTTTCTAGCCAGGTCCCAGGGAGACCAAGAGGCAGGTTCCTTTGCAAATATTTTAAAAGCGATTAAACTTGCTCCTTCGACACACCAAGCAGTGACAACAGCCAGGTTTTAAAACTTTATTTGCATATTAAAAAAATTGTGCATTCCAATAATTAAAATCATTTGAACAAAAAAAATGGCACTCTGATTAAACTGCATTTTACAGCCTGCAGGATATCTTGGACCAGCTTGGATATTACTCTAGACTTCTCCTTCCTCCCACCCAGCTTTCTTCCTTCATGCACATTCAAGTTGTTTTCCTTCCCAGCCAGCCAGACAGATGGGAGAGGCAGGCTCGGCCTCCGTTGTTGTCAGTAGTTCTCAATTCTTTGATATGAAAGGGGCAGCACAGTCATTTAAACTTGATCCAACCTCTTTGCATCTTACAAAGTTAAACAGCTAAAAGAAGTAAAATAAGAAGGCAATGCTTGTGGAATGTACAGTGCATATTGGCGGTGCACACCTCATTAGGATTCGCCTGCTTGCTTCTCCTGTTCGATTGCTGTGGCAGGAAGAGACAAAAAAAAAAAGGAAAGAAAGAAAGAAAAAAAATGGAGGCTCAGAGGATGCATAAGATGACAAATACTTTCATTTGAAACCTCTATACATATCATAAAAATGTCCCATGTGTACATAATCATTGCATCTTGAAATAAAAGTCATATTAAATATTGTAAATCGACGTACAATGTGATAGATAAATTGGCGGCTTGTATATAAATATTCTATTAAACACTAAAGTCCGTGTTTATTGGCTGCAAAAACCGTTTCTAATGAACCTTTCCAAACCACACATTCATCATCATCAAACTGTTGGCTCCTCCCCCAAAGTACCCCCCCCCCGCCTTCGCCCCGCTGCCCCTCCCTTCCTTCCACCCGCCGCTCCCGCCCAGCGCTTTCTGAAAATGGGTGATGGGTGGGGGCTTACTTTCTTTTGAAGGCAGAGGATTTTTCTCTTGCGTTTCTGTCTTCTTCAATTTCGACTTATCGAATTTCTCGATCTCAGCCATATCGGGTTTGTCAGACATGGTCGCTGAAGGAGCTGAAGGAGATAAAGCCAAGAGCCCGGCTGAGAAAGAGCCACCCGCCCTCACCCCTCCCAGCTCAGATATGTGTCGCTTCCCCCCCCTTCCATCCTGAACCCCCTCTCTTCCTCTTCCACGCAGCTAAGAAGGTTCCTCTTTTTACAAGAGGGGGGAAGCGAATACCTCAATACCCCCCAACCTCGAGGACCCCTCCCCCCGCTCCAGACGAGGCGTCTCAAAGCGCAAATCTCACCGAAGACCAGAACTGACCTCCGTAGGTTATCTGTGGCAGCTGGTCAAAATTAAAACGTAGGTCACGCGCGTAAACTGCGCAGCCACGTTCAAGATTTCAGTGGCGAAGATCGATTCAAAACGATCCAAATGCAGCCAAGGGCTGGCCATCTCCTAGATGCGGTCTCCTCGCCCCAAAGATGCTGACGGGGTGCAGCCGCCTCACAAAGGCGACAGCTGCCATGGCCACGAGCTTCCCACCACCGCCGCGCCGCCGCCCCTCGCTCGCCCTTTCGCCCTCGCGCAACAATGCAGCCGCGGGCACACAAAGCTGCCTCCCCAACCCCCCACCCCCCAAACCCATCGCGATCGGCATCGAGGGGTGATTTAGGCAGCCTTGGCACGCATTCCCTGGCAGGATGGACTTGAAAAGGTTCTCGGGACCGCCCAGCCATCTTAAGCCGGGACGGAGAAGGAGATCACAGCCTTGGACACCGTCGCAGATTAGCGGACGGGAGAGCAGCGCCAGCCCCAGGTTGAGTGACTGGGCGTAAGAACAAAGGGATCTCTCTGTTCCTGATTAATTACAGCCTTCAAGGCATTGCAGAATGCCTTTTTTGGCGGGGGGGGGGGGAGGCAATTCCCTCGAAGCTCCAAAGCAAAAAATAAAATAAAATAAATCCCTAAACAACAACAACAAACCCCTCAGATTCGTTGTTTAATTTTTTAAAAATCAAGTTCCCGATTCCTAGACGCAGCATCTGGAAGGATTTAGCATCCCCGATCTCCCCCAAACCACCTTCCAGGAGGACTACTTAGGATCGGCTTTTAGGGATGCTTCGTGGGGATGCAAATAATGAAAGGGCTAGCACGGGCGGCCGCCAGTAAGGGGAGCAGGGGACAGAAAGACAGGAGGAAGGGGCGCTGGAGCTCACCGAAGCGAAGTGCGTGGACGAGAAGAGACGGCTCTGCGCAGTGGCCACCAGTGAATGTCGGGCGGGGTGCGGCGAGCGCCACTTTATGGGCGCTCCTATGTAAATGAGGTGATGTCACCCGCAGGCTCGCTTAACTCCTTCGCGCCGCGTCTACGGAACAGCGTCTGGAGGGCTTTGGGGCAAGAGGAGAGCCTTCCCCCTCCCCCACCCCCCTCCCCCACTCACCCCCATATCCACCGGATCACCCTAACCGCAGGGATGATAGAAAAAGAAAAGGAGTCAAAGCCCATCTTCCATCCCTTCCTTATAACGCATTTTCTTTGCCCTCGTGTGTGTGTGTGTGTGTGTGTGTGTGTGTGTGTGTTAATATTACAATGAATTTTTGCAGCCGTGCCTCAAACCCAATGAAGAATAACTAAAAAATGGTCCAGGTGGTAGTTTGGGGACTTCGGGCATTCCTCTACAGAGAAGGGCTTTGTCTGCTGCAGACAACCCCAAGGTAGGGCGCGGTGGCCCTGGTACCAGAGCCTCGCCCACTGCAGGGGTCTGATTTCTGTGACTCAGCTTTCAGACCAGTGGAGGGCATTCGCCCCACCCGGTCCTCTTTGTCTTCCTGGCTTGCGTTCCCCTTGGTTTGGGTGGTTCGTTAAAAAAAAAAAATCTTTAAGTGGTTTTCTTTTTTAAAGTTTCATCGCTGTAGCATTCATATTTTTCATTGCTGTAATTTTTGTGAACACTCAAGTCGTACTGTTTGCTAGCTGGAAGGTAATTTGGAGTTGAGAGAGCACAACGCTTGCTTCTCCCTTAAAAAAAAAAAGTCAAGTTCAAGCGCTGCTATGGACTTGGAGCCTAACAATGAGGAGGTTCTTTACCTTCCTGTTTCTTGTTTTCATAAATTAGAAGTGCTTGCCAAAGAGGCCCAGGTTGATTGGAAAGCCTTCCAATCCTATTCTCTCAAATATCCCAACATGAAATTCACATGTTGAGCAATATGGTTTGAGGCCATTTCAGAGATACATCTGGAAATATGAAAGATTCAGGTATAGAGAAGCCTTTTTCAAAATGGCACCTGAGTGTGAATACCAGTGACCCACTCGCTACTGAAAATTACTTACAATTATCATGCCTGTGCCTGCGAAAGGCACATGAAGATAGAAAGACCTGCTGATTAGCAAAAGACCACGCTGCAATTAGTTTTGAGATGCAAAACAGTGTATAAAATATTTCTTCCCCCTGTCTGTGTCCTGAGGAAATGTTTTCAGAGCCTTTTCTAAATCATCATTTTTATAACAACGGCTTTTCTCTCACTGGGGATTAGAGTTGACAACTGCTATATAGACCCTAAAACTGTCACTTCTCAAGCAGCTTAGACTTCTCCATTTTCTTCATTGACTTGACTTCCTTTTTCCTGGGGAGGAAGGAGGTGGAGGGGGCTGTGCAGGAGCAGGTGACTGTCTAGTTCCCCAGTGAATGCTCCTGAGTAGCTGACTTCCTGCCCTGGGCATGGGGCCCTGGACCAGTTCATGCACGCACCAGATGTCACCTCTCTGGTAACACAGCCACCCCTGCCCCTCACTCCTGCTCTATATTGACATGCTGGGGAGGGGATTCTACTTCATGGAGGAAGCACAGAAAAGAGCTTGCAGAGTGACTTTCTGGCCTGTTCTGCTGGCAGCTGCAGCTACATTGACACCATTTTTATGGGTTCTTTGATTCCATTCCCCTTCACTCAGCTGCTGTCAAAAATCCGTTTCTTTGTTATCAGGTCTCCTGTCACTAGCAAGCATCACTCTCCTTGCTGCTGTTTTGCCTTAGGAAAATTATGTCTTTAGGAAGCCATGTCACCAAAGGAACTGGAGGAGTGGAAATCCGTAAACATCTGGACTTCTCTCCTTTGGTAACAAGCATCTTTCCATCCATCATATGTAGCTATGGATAGAGGGCAGTGTGAGTAGATAGAAAGCGGGTATGTGATGGAGACAAACCTCTGGAGGAAAGAATCCAGTATACTTAGGCTTAACGTGCTAACTGGTAAGGAGAATTGTACAGGAAGGGTAAGCAAACAAAAGGAAAAGTCTTAAAAGAGACTAGTGGGACTCTTATATTAATTTTTCAGTGCCTAAGTCTTTGTCTTCTGTGGAATGGATCAACTGAACCCTATCTTGACAAAGTTGTGGGGAGGTGAATTGCTCAGTACTGCATGTGACCATTAGCAAGCTTTCTGTTCTGTATTTATTGTGAATACACAGTTTTAAAGACACATTTTAATATTTGGGTATAATTACAAGTTTCTGATGTCTTAATAGTTATAAAGAATGCATTTTATTTCTGGATAATATATTGGGATATATTATTATGATTATTTGGTCAATTATCAATAAAAATGAGATCTTTTGTTAGTTTCACAGCAGATACATCATATCTTCCTTTGGTTGATGCCTCCTAAGAGTCAGACCTCACAGTAGAAGCTTTCTATTCATTGCTTTCTTTCATACCCTGTAACTCTCTCCAGGAAGAGAGATTTTCAGTTGGGCCAGCTAAAGTGAATGGATCCAACTTGGAATAACTCAGCTGATAACCCTTATTATTTATTAATGCTAAGGGGCACATTCATATCTTCACCTCTTTTCCTTTCCCCAAGTCTGTGCCTGAGAAACACCACAAAGAATGTGAGGGGGGGCGGCTACTTTGTTTGTTTGTTTGTTTTACAATACCAGGTAGATAGTATTTTTCTCGATATTGCTATGGCTGCATTCAATTGACTTTCTTACGCTCCTGAACCCATGACTCCAGTCACATTTTCTTCTCCAGACAGTCAAACACACAGTATTAATGTTCCACAGGCCAGCAATGATTTGTGTTTTAGGGAAGCTATCACTGGTATGTGCTGGACACTATAATGATTGAGACAGGAGCTCAGGGCCAATTTAAAGAACAGAGGCATGCTTGGAGAGGCAAAAAGCTTACCTCCAAAATGGCCTCAGCCACTCTCTATTTCATGGGCCACTCCAACTTCAGAGCTCTCCAGTGAAAAATAAGCCAAGAACTTAGGGGGCAAATGCCCAGATTGTCCTTCACTTCTGGCCACAACACCCTGTGAAATGTATGTCAACAGAGCCCATGTGGAAAGGTGGCCCCCATCCAAGTCTGGGCTGCATGGAATCAGGAAGAGATGTGAGGGGACATCGTGTGTTAGTTTTCCAGGGCAGGCCTGAGCCAGAATTATGGCTATTTTGAATGATGAGGAAACAGCTACTAGAGCAGTTCATGAAAATTACTTCTATTGTTTTCAAATTTATTTAATTTTGTGCTGAGTATTGACCAGAAGAAGGAAAAGGAGGAACAGAGGAACAGGAAGCACTGAATGTCTCTCAGCTCTTTGCTTACTCAAGTGCAGGTCCCTTTGTCTTGGCTCACGGCCTCTTGCTGCCTACCCCCACCTGCTTGAAACCCACATTCCCCTGGGAGCCCTCCAGTCCAAACCTGTTCCTTCTGCCCTCCCTTACAGCTAAGCTCCCCCTTTCCACATGAGCATGGAATCTAAATCCACTTAGCCCACGGGCCCTTTGTGATAGGCAGAAAGGATATTTCAGACACTAGCGAGATCTCACACAGGACCTGGCTCAATTCTCATTCCATGCCATGGGTTACTGATCGCCTTCTGCTACTAAAGAATCCCAGGCTTGGAGCATGGAAGAGATTTGTTCTAGATCAAGCATCCAGTCTATATTCCAACTCTATGTCCTCCCTGAAAGCCACCCCTACCTTCAAGTTACCTAATAGATCTTCCTCCCCATTCTCTCTCTCTCTCTCTCTCTCTCTCTCTCTCTCTCTCTCTCTCTCCCTTTTTTCACCAGTCCTGGGGCTTGAACTCAGGGCCTGTGCACTGTCCCTGAGGTTCTTTTGCTCAAGGCTAGCACTCTACCACTTGAGCCACAGTGCCACTTCCAGCCTTGTCTGTTATGTGGTTCTGAGGAATCGAACCTAGGGCTTCATGCATGCTAGGCAAGCACTCTACCGCTAAGCTACCTTCCCAGTTCCTCCTCCCAGATTCTTCATCCTCACCTCTCTCCCTCCCCAGCCTCCCAGGCCAGCTGGCTCCAGGTCATGTACTGTGCAAGGGAACACAAGACTCCCTCTGCCAGTGTGAGGAAAATGGTGGAGAAAATTGAGGAAGCCAAAAGAAGAGGAACACCATGGAGAATGTGGAATGTGGTGGTGCTAATTGTCCAGTGTGCTTTATTGAGCTGATGGAATCTCGAAGCCGGTTTGGTTTCCTTTCCGTGGTGGCTTCACTTTGCCTCTGCAACATCCCCTCCAAGTGGTTACTTAGCTTCCAAACAGCCAGGGGAACCATCTCAAAGGTGGAGAATCTTTTGAGTCATCGAGGGAGCATGGAGGAGCATCCTGTGGCAGGAGCTTGCATGGGATAAGGGAAAGTGAGAGGAAACCAAGTGTGGAGAGGCAGACAAGGGCCAAGTTGTAGAATAATATCATTTTATCAAACCCAGCTGTCATAAGAGCAAAATGAACAGCAGGCATTTTTCCAGTACTTCAAGCAGTATCTCTTTAAGCTTCATAGAACTCAGGGTTATTTCCCTTACTTTGCAGATAAAGGTGCCCTAGTGGGATTAAGGACACACCCAAGGCCCTATTATGGAAGCCAACGTGGCAGGGTGTGAAATCAGACCTGCTGGTTTGAAAGCTGCCATTGTCACATTTTGCTTCATTGTACTCTCCTCACTCCCCCCCCCTCCACACAAATCCTAAGGTCTTCAGATTTTGTTATAGGCTAGATAGGTATGAAATTATTATTCTGTCTCCACAAATCTTCTAGCTTAGAATACCATTAAAATTTTAAAACAAGCTGGGTCCTGGTGGTTCGTGCCTATAATCCTAGTTACTCAGGAGGATGAGATCTAAGGATCACAGTTTAAAGCCAGCCCCAGTAGGAAAGTCCATGAGACCCTATCTCCAAGTAACCACACAAGAACTGGCAGTGGAGCTGTGGCTCAAAGTAGTAGAGTGCTAACCTTGAGCAAAAGAGCTCAGGGAAATGTTTAAGCCCAGAGTTCAAGCCCTGTTACTGACAAAAACA